CGCGTCAGATTCCTTATGCGCTGCCGTGCCGAGGCTGGATTCCCAATGTTTCCACTCTCCCGCTCTCTCTTTCCTCTTGCATGTGCCAGCCGACTGTGTGAGCTAGCCAACCGGCGGGGGCTGAGATTGAATGCAGCGGCTGATAGTCCGTCTACGCATGCCACACACGACCTGGTCCTTACTTCACATACCCAGATGCGTTAAAGGAAGTGTTTCTCATTTGCGTGTGAATGTATACTGTACCTACCTCAGAGTCCCAGGTGTCGGACTGTGAGGAACGTAGTTCGAGGGCCGTCTCTCCTGCGCGCATTGGAATCCAGTCACTGAGAACCAGGGGCCGATAGGAGCCAACATGTCCGTTCGCTACGTGGCCGTTGGCCAAGGCCGACTGTGGGGTCTTAGTTGTTTCACCGTTCGATGACGCCTGAGCCTGAGCCTGCTCCTGCTGAGATTCGGACTCAATCTGGCGCATCCGAGTGATCAGGTGATTCAGACAGCTAACCAGATCATCAGCGTTTTGTGACTTGCTGCGGCAGAGTTCGTGCAGGGCGTTGCGTCCACTCTGAGGAGAGAGAGGGAGGGGGGGGTAAAATGCGTTTAGGTAAAAGAAACAGGCAGGGATGCAAGGCTTTACCTGGAGAGAGATGTACAAAGCGTCTAGACGTAATCATCCTTGTCACCACGAGATGGATCAGGCAGTCAAACATGTTCAGTAATAGAAGGGCGTAGTTCATGTTTAAAACTAGAGTTTAAAAACTGTGTCATGAATGACAATGGGGTTTGGAAAATGGTCGCAAGTGATGCGGACAGTCAGAGAATACATTCACAATGACAGGATCGTTCTAGGATCTTACCGTGTTACCACCCACACACGAATTCTCATGCACAAGTGCACATTCGCAGAAGTAGTCTCCATGTCAACATAAACACACAATAATCACAGGGCCCAGACCATTACTCGGAAAGCTGCCAAGATCACATTGGCTGTGGGCCAGAAAACACATACAGACCGAGACCACATCATTCTAGCCTCAGAGGCCGAACCTCACAGGGTTGAGAATAAAGAGGATAGGAAAATAGAGATAAGAAGAATGAGGAATGCTAATTAGCGTACACCACTACAATTGCCCCCTCCATCTTGATTACTGTTTCTAACACCTTGACAACCTCATGACTTCTCACAGTTGATTGGCCCATGGCCAGTATAGTTACCCTCCTTGTTGTTGCTACTTCTCATCTCTGAAGATAAACTCCTATAAGAGTTTGAAAGCTCAGGGCAATAAACCAATTGATCCAGTGCTCGACATGTCTCCTTCCTTGTTTATGCAAATACCTGGAATGCGAACTTTTTCATTCATTTGGGAATGAGAAAACTATGCTGATGATGATGTTGACGCAGGAGGAGGAGGAGGATGATTCGAATAATCGACTACATGACAGTCGGAAGAGTACTTTGACCGATATTTTAGGTTTTCGTATAAGGTAATGAACGCCGCAGCATGTGGAAGTGGTGATACTTAAGGCACGTACTTCGGCAAAATTGTATGATTGCTAACAAGTTCACAACTCTCAAGACGTCAAGTTTGGCGAATGAACGTTTTCGATTATTCCTCATCCGGCAATTACAAAAATATAAGAGCAGTAACAGGAACAAAAGTTTAAGCATTCAATCGACAGTAATGAAGAGAGGGGTTAGATTCTAGTCATACCATTTGTAAAGTTTCTGCGTCAGTGGATACTAGCCACACAGTCACCATACAGCTAACAACCAAGACTATGTGAGCCGGGAACCACAGCAGACGCGTCTTCGACCGCGTTCCCACCCGCCCTCAGGGCGGCCAAGGTCTGCTACACCAAACGTCATATGGTGCAATCCATCTCTTCTCCTCTCCATCTGTTTTTTTATGACAGAGCAGCCCCTCCTGACTATGGCTGCTCCGACTCCTCCTCATCCTCCTCCTCGCCGCCGGGATTGAGAGCCACCCGGCGGAGTTCCGGATCCACCAAGGGCTACTTGCCTGCCTGACTATGTGAGCCCAGAAGGCGTCTATACAAGCATTAAGGCTCCTCTGACCGAGGGCTAACTCGGCAACTGCAAATTATGGGTGCGAGAGTACTTTAGACGTGCCTCGTTCGGTTTTTGTGTTGAAAAGCAGGCGAATAATTGCGCTGAGTTAGTTGTAAAATGCAGGCAGTCCTCCAGCACCTCCGGAATTCGCTATAAACCCGAAAGCTACCGTTTCTTTAAGTATACAATTTTAGGATTCGCTAGAAAATGAGTAGAACAAAGGATAATTTAATGCATGCTGTTGCGGCCACCGAGGTTACGAATTTTTCACAATTGGGTCAACTGAATTACTCAAACCTGCCAAACCCCCCTAATATTTCTGAAAAGCATTTACTTAAATAGTGAGTTTTTAGACATTCATCCATGTGCAGATCTCTGTTTACGTCATGGGTCTAGAATCACCCAAACGTGTCAGTTCAGTGGCGAGACAAATGAAGGTCCACAATAACATTCACATATTAGTGTGTCTAAGATTAATTTAAAAACTTTCTATAACAAATTACGTCATGAAAAAGCGCTTTAATTAAACAACGCGTAGGAGGCAAAATCGGTGAACAGACACATGCGTGTACGGCACGAATTCACACCGGCCACTGCAATACCGAAGTGATTTATTTCTCTCCGAGGCTCACCCGTCCACACACCCACACACACGTCGGCTAGTGCAGTGGTGGACATGTTGCAATCAGCAGAGTCGAACGACAGCGATTACGTAATAGTGGGTACGTGTGCATTCGATAAATCCTGCGCCCTGCCCCCACCAAGTGCATGTGACAAGGGAAGGAGGGGACATATAGCCCTCCACGGAAGTTTGTAACCACAAACGCAGGTTGCTCGCTAGTTGCGAAGGTGGTCCATGTAGAAGAGGGCCACAAACTAATTTCTGTGGTCTCCCACGGGGCAGGCATACCCACACACATGCACTCCTGAAGGAGTTTGGACCTGCGTTCATGTACTCCTGCAAGTTTTTGAAGGGCAATTTACGAGAACCTAAAAAAACTATTAAATATGTCCTCAAACCAACCATATTGTGATTTTCAGTGTCCTTTAAATGCGTTCCGGAAAAGTCCATACAGTAGTCTGCTGTCCACCACCTTGTGCCAGGCGGCGTCTACACTGAATTCTGGTGAATGTTTTTGTTATGTTATTATTTTCTTGGTTTACAAAAGTGTGTCGTACGGTAAGATATTGTATAAAAATAATAAAATAATACCGTATTATATCATAACAGTGCGTTTTAAAGTAAGAAATGAACTGATATTGTGTGGGACCTTGTTTCCTCTCTTAACGAAAGCACGTGCAGTTTCATAATTTACCGTAAATTTCGCTTAGGTGATGTTTATATTCTACGTTTTCAGTATGACAGTGCTTCATAATAATAGTCAACACAGTATAACTTTGTGCAGTAAGAAAAGCATTAGTTTTACAGTTTTATAAATTATAGGCGTCTAGTAGCCTCGATCAACTATTGGAAATGTAAACCAAAAAAACAGCGCATGAACTCTGTGGGAGTTTCATAATTAACTATTAATACATACAGTAAGTAGAGCATGATTGTTAGCGTATCATCTGCATTTACTATTATTCTTAAAATGATATACACAGCCTATTGGTCACGAAAAAAGTCTACGTATTGCATCTGCTAGATCCATGAATTTTTAGTGTTCGATCCGTTTACCCGGCAATCTAACGCGAGGGAAGATGCGCCACAGTTACCTCTGAGCTCCAGGATTCCACGAAGGAGTTCATTACTTAAATCAGAGGCGACAAGTGCATAAACGTCAGGAATCCTTTGTCTCTTTTTTCTCAGAAGTGAAAACACGCACGTCCGTCTACTGCCCACCACACTGTGCCCGCCCGCGTCTTTTGCGCATTTTATGGCTGTCTGATGATAACTAATGAACCAGAAATGGTCATTCCAGTCACATCGGTTTTTGACAGCATTGTTCGTCTGTCTACACTACTATTCTTTGTGCGGCTGCTGCTTGAGATGCTCTAAAGTGAGCTCCAAGATAGAACGAGACGAGTGAGTTCCACTAGCGATCGGTGAGCGTTCATCAACGAAATTCGAATGGGTCCACCGTCCGCTCAACCTCCCCCAATCGACTCTTCCCGCCGAAAAACCTCTCTAAAGCTCCGGAATTCTTTCAGATGGCGGTTGTGATGGTTTATGACCGGTCAATACATAACACACTTAATAGATCAATGTCCGACAATGTGCGAGTACGTATTCGTCAAAACCGGGAGCCAGCATAGTTGGTGGTCAGCCTTCCCGAGATAGTTTTGCTGTCCATCAGCTGTGGACGCCCCGTTCAGCCTAGATGACAGACAGGCGTTATCTACCGGGGAGTTCTGTTATAGCAGGCCAACTATGCAAAGAAATGGTAGGACAATGTCAGAAGCATGTGTTGGCTGGTGTTTTCTACTACACTGGTTGGTGTGCCCACCTAGAGAAGCGGTCAGGAATCAACAATGCTTACCGAACTGGCAGATAATCGATCGATATCCAACGTATTTACGAGAGTTTCTCAGAGAAATGTCAAGGGTCTCCTGTTAATAAATGACTGTAGGCCGTTGAACTCTTTGCCATCGGCTGCTACAAATTTTGGGCTGACCGGGCTATGTTATACTCACAGCGAATACAAGAACATCTACCTTACGGCCGTGGGCAGATACATGAACATCCAAAATCAACGAGGAATTCACCAATCAGATCCCAAGGGCAATTTAAGTCTTCGGGCTCTAATAACAACTCGTCTGCAATCGCCGAGGTATTCGCCTAAAGGCGAAAATGACGAAGGCTGTTGTCCTGACTACGCTCTTGTATGGAGTGACGTTCTTTGTAGCTTCACCACGTTGAAGCAGGTTCAACTAAG